TGTGTGTGTGTGTGTGTGTGTGTGTGTGTGTATCTACTGTATTTTTCAGACTATAAGGCATGTTTAAAATCCTTTAATTTGCTCAAAAATCAACAATTAATTCTGGTTGTGCTTACTGACTTCGAACTGATTTTATGTAGTTATTGTGAATGAGCTGAATAAAGTTTGACTTATTTGACTGTTTAGTTTCACTTAATGCACATTATAATCCAGTGCACCTTATATATGAAAACAGACCAGTTCATGGATATTGCACCCTATAGTCCGAAATATACGGTATAAGTCATGTGCATTTTAGCTTATATTACTACCTCAAAATACTTATTAATTCAAATTCATCCTGCTGCACCATTATATTCCACCATGTTGTTGCTCAATATCTCTCTTTAGGACATTGTAAATATTTTAATTAACTACTTTTTCACTTTTTGGTACCTTTTTTGGTGTACCCTTATTGCATGCTTTTTGTATTTTCTTGTTTTGTTCTTTGATTTTTTAGTGAGTCAACTCATTTCTTCTCATCCTAAGAATTTCATTGTACTGTTAACCCTGTGTTAACCTGCATATGACAAATAACCACAAGTTGAACTTGAACCTGAATGATGATTGACAGCACACAGGTGTGAACACTAGGTGGCCGACAGGTGCAGACGAGCTGCAAACACATATACCATACTACTTGATTTATAAAGAATCAAAATCAGCTTTACTGTCTTTGCACCGAAGCGCAGCAAAATGACATGCGCTGCGGTGCAAAGACAGTAAAGCTGATTCCGATTCTAAAGCACTTAAAAACAGCAGCAAGGCCAGTGAGTGCTGTACAAACTAGCAAAGGACACAGGATAAAATACAGTACATAAAATCCACAGAGGTAAAGATAATAAACTAAATGACTAAAAAGAAGAAAAAAACAAAACAAAACAGTCAATTTAAAATCAAGTCACAATGGATCGAAAGCCGAAAGTGTGTTTTTAAACGAGACTTGAAAAGAATGATCCAAATTCTAAAAGAAATGCAATAGAAAAATGCTGCAAAAGAAAAAAAATCTGCAATCACAGAAAATAGAAGAAACATACAATTAAAAAAACAAATGCAAAGGAAAATGCTGCAAATACCAACAACACTGAATAAAAACAACACCTGCAAGAAACGCTGCAAACTCCAGAAAGCAGAAGAGCAGCTGACCACCAGGGGGACTGGACCACCAACAGACCCCCTTACAGCTGAGCAGCCACTTTCTAAATAATAATAATAATAATAATAATGTCATCACAATGTCAGCACTGTATGTTTCCATACAATGGCGAAATTAGTCTCTGCATTTAACCCATCCACCACCAAAAGTCATCATACTTTAATATGGAAGGAGATATAAAATCTCTCAACTAAAGAGAGCTTTTGGTAATGTAAGAAAACAGAAGAAGCTACCGTTAAAGATAAAGATAAAAAAATTAAACATTAAGATAAAATAGAACTTTACTGATCCCACAGGAAATTGTTGTGCAAGTTTCAATTAAAAATGATCATACACAAGGAATCACACAAGATATAGAAAATAACAGAATATAAAAAAATAAATACAAAAATACAAAAAAATAACAGACGGGTATAAAAAATACCATTGGCAAGACAATGGCTTTAAATCCTGTAATCTGCTTTTTATAGGAAAATCAGCAACATTATATAAAGATAAACATTAAAAAGAAAGCATTAGATAATTTTGCCACAATATGAAATTGGAATTAGGGGGTAGAAGTCCAGCCAAAATGATCTGGCACATCTCTAAGATCTGCAAAGCAGAAATACTCTGAATAATTTGATAGATTGTGGCTGTATCACTGGTATTAGTGTTATAGTTCTAGAATTGCGCCGCTCAAGGTGTCTGCATGTTGGAGTAGCTGTTACTTTTATTCGGGATGTTGCTTTTAAAAACTTAATTTCTTCTTTTTTCTGAATGTAAAGGGCTTATTTTTTTTTTTTGGATGATTACTTTGTCTGGTATTGGATGCTGTGCAGCTGGAAGGATTTTTACGGAAACCTTTTACTTTTGGACATTTGTTTGTTATTTGGTTGCGTACCCATAACAACAAGGTGGTTTTTACAACCGGGAGCAGCTGATTAACATCTTAAAGCTCAAATATTATCTCAAATACAGCCCCAAATCCCAAATGAGTTGTAAAGGAGGTGCCGTGGATGCATGTCCGTCTACCTGGCGGAGGTGCTCGAGTGACTGACTGCTGAGATCCTGGAGCTAGCAGGAAACATGACTCATGACAAGAAGACCAGGATCATCCCCCGACACCTGCAGCTGGCTGCCTGCAATGATGAGTAGCTGAGAGGAATGGCCATCGCTCAGGGAGTTCTGCCCAACATTCAGGTGGTCCTGCTGCCCAGGAGGACCGAGAGGCCCGCTGGGTCCTGGTGGACCAGTTGGTATCTGCAGCCAGTTTCATCAGATATGCTGTGAGACGGACTGTTGCGGACATCAGCATCTATAACAACTCTTAATGAAACCAGGACGATGAGCTACAACAACATTTATTTTCTCTTGAGGTTAATAAAGTATTTTGAATTTTTTAAAATTTGATAAAGGTCTCCAGCTGTTTACAAAACAGACTAGTTTTAAAACTTTATTTCTAAATATTTTCAACCAAGTTCATTAATCTTTATGACGTAAATATTTACTAACTTATTGCCAATATATTACGGATACATTAGGATAGAAAATGTTATTTAGATACTCTTGATTCTGTACATGACCAAAACAGATATTTAGGATTTTGCGGTGAATTATAGTCAATTATTATCATCCTTCTTACGATGTTTACAGCCCCAGCACTCTGATATTTGTACAAGCAGGCTTAAAATAGTCAGAAAACATTTGTCTTTAACATAAAATAGGCTGAAGCTTAAAGTACTCGGTGTGCATTAAACTCATGAGCCACGTTCTGGCCAGTGGCTGATCGGCTGTCATGTGGTCCTGGATGACTTGTGGTCCAGTCCCCCTGGTGGTCTGGTGCTCTTCTGTTTTTTGGAGTGAGTTTGGAGCATTTCTTGCAGTGGTTTGTGTGTGTGTTTTTGGTATTTGCAGCATTTTTCCTTTGCATTTGTTTTCAAGGTTATATGTTTCTATTTTCTATGACTGGAGATTTTTACTCTTGCATTTATTTTGTTTTGGGTTTTTTGTCTTGGAGTTTGCATCATTCATGTATTTGCAGCAGGTTTTAACTGTTTGCTGTACATTTAGCTGTTTGCAGCTTGTTTGTTTAAATACTCTGAGACTGAACCCCCAGTGTCGGGTCTGAAGAAGACAGTGAGGGGACTTCACCTGGGTCAGCCTCTTTCATCTCGTTCAGGTTGTGTTGAGCTGCAGACACCAGCTGCTGCTGAGGGATAACACTCCTGGTTTTCTGCTGCAGCTTGGGATTTTCATACTGCAGAACATGCTGGAAGTTGGACTGAAGAGTCACCAAGAAACTCATGCTGCTGTCCTGCAACACAGACACACACAGGAGAGTGAAGCCTGGCTGTGGCCCACTGAAGGTGAAAGGTCACAACTCTTAATGATTAATTTTACATCCTCATCAGCAGCTGGTAAATATTTGACTGTAGAAAGATGATGAATTATCAGCAATTTAAGGCTTTATATTTGGACAGGGAAATGCAACTTCTTCATTCAAAGTGTTTTGTATCATATGGAACATCTTCGGAATAAACACACACAAATTACACATTAGACACACAGCCTGACCAACACCAGGGTTCTGACGGGTGGGAGCGGTACGCAGCACAATGCAGAGAAAAGACTTGCAGGAAAAATAAAAAAATAGAAATCAAGGCATATTGGTGAAATGAACGAGCAAAAACAGTCCTGTTCAGTTCTGCAGCTCAGCAGCAGAACCATCACTCAGAGTTTAAACGTGTCGCAGCACATCGGACTTTCCATGACTGACCTGCTGATTAACACTTTGTACATAATCACAGGTCAAGTTTTTTGTTCTGACAGATTTTTCCCACAGAACATTCAGCTGAGTTGATCTTGTCAAACTTCAACTTTTAAACAAACTTCTAATCTTTTTCAAACAAACTCTTTTTGCTACATCTAAAACTGAAATATCACAGACTTTAGTCCTCTTCCACCTGGTGCTGCTGGGCTTCATTCAAATCCCCTCAGAGCACAGAGAAGACATCCAGACTTACATCTTACATCAACATCTAAAGTGAGTGTAGAGAATGGAGACACGTCATGTGCACTGCCGCATGGCAGCACTGATGACAGCTCTGCTTCAACTCACACTTTTTTGTTCCTTGTTGGTTTTGACTTGTTGCACCTGCACACTAAGGGTAAGACCACAACGCACATTTGGAGTTGCGATCGTCAGTGAGCGGGGACCTTGGGCTGACTTTGGAGGACTCGGCAGCAGACATTATACCCTGGGTGCTGTGTTTACATGGGTGACATAAAAGGAAAACATGAAGAGGGAAACGAGCCAGTGTTTTGTGAAGGACCTGCCAGAGACGCAGCAAACCCCCTCTCACCTCCGTCCTGCTGTCGGGCGTTCAGTCTCTGAAGAATAGACTGGAAGACCACGGATTTATTGTGAGCAGGACACAGAGAGCTGTTGTGTCTTTACTGAATCATGGCTGGAGCCGTCCATCACCGACTGTGCTGTGGCTCCGGACGACTCGTCTGTCTAGCAGCTGGACAGAAATGAGTCACATCTGGGACACCTAATGTGTTTATTGTTGCTACACTGTGTAGCTGCATTATGTGTGTCGCTGCCTTGCCATCGTGGTTCGGTTCATCTTGGTCTTGTCCATGGCCGGTGTGGTGTATGTTGTGCACGGTAAGCATCATGTGCATTTGAGCAATGTTGCTGCCTGTGAGGTACCGTATTTTCCACCATACACGTCACACCGCCCTATAAGTCACATCAGTCCAAATGTGTCTAGTAAAGTGAAAATATCCATAAATATGTTGCTTGGCCGTATACGTTACATCTATTACGCGTCACCGTTGACAACCCGGAAACATGGGCCGGTGTTGTGCCAAAAATCGACTGGCTGCCAAATGGCGGTTGTGGGAGCATGCACGGGAGGACTTTAAAAAGAATTTAACAAGATTACCACCTAAAAACAATTATTTGTTTGCTCGACATTATAGCAAAGGTGTGTCTCAGTTAAACTTTTTATTAATAAATGCACTACATTGGTCTAATCAGCTGCATTTCAAAAGTATTTGCTGCCTCGGTGCTCCGGGAGCACGCTTTGAAACGGAGGAAATCAGGAAGGAGGAACACTGCACATTTCTTTGAAATTTAACAAGCACCTAAAACAATTATTTGTTTGCTCGACATTATAGCTGTCATGTTTGTAGTATGTCTTGACCCCAAGTGGCAGACCGGACAGAAAACAGAAACAGAGTTATCAAAAAATAATCTCTTTATTTACAGGTGCGGGGCTGTTGAGGGAGAAGAGGACAATGGTGAGTAATGGATTTGTAAAGTTGAACCTCTTAAAGGAAATGATAGTAATTCTTTCTCTTACTGAAAAAACAAGTCCTTGTTGTGGCAGAGTCCGTGAGGGAAGAAGAGTCCTTGGTTCAACTGGAGGTTCCTGGATGAGAGGCGAGGATCGTTGGAGAGAGGATCAGGTTAGTAGAAGTTCCTTTTCCTGGTAGTAGTTTTCAAGCGTGGTTTCCTTGAAGAGACACGGATCCCGGTGAATGAGCATCCACGATATATGAAGGCCTAAGAAAGCTGAGTGGAGTCCAAGGCTAGGGAGTCACAGTGGCTTGGTAATGTTCCGGCGTCAAAGGAGTGTCTAGCTGAGGCTTTTAAGCTCCTCCAGCATCGTCCCTCAGAATCCGGTGCAGGTGTGTGGTGGTTGATTGTGGAAACTGCTGCTGCTGTGAAAGAGAGAGAGTGTGGCAGACAGAAACAGAAATCCTACAATAGCAAAGGTGTGTCTCAGTTGAACTTTTATTTAATAAATGCACTTTAATGGTCAAATTAGCTGCATTTAACCGGGGCGGTGCAGTGAAATGAAGCTGATGTGACGGTTGTTCCAGGTGAGCTGGACAAAGGTGTCAGGCTATGGCAAGCCGAGTGTGTCATTATTTAATAGCCACGCTTACCTATTACATGACACAACGGCATGCCATACTACTCGAGTGCCATCTAGCGGCTGAAAATGGTAGTGTTCAATTAGGGCTGGACAATAATTCGATATCGATATATATCACAATATAATTTTATTCAATCACGGTGATATGAGTTTTAAGAATATTTTCGATATTTCGATATGATTACAGCGTTTCACTGACACATTTCTTTTTCTGTTCAGGTTGAAGCGGCTGCTTCAGTTTCAACCCAGACAGAAAAAGGTGCAACACAACTACGTAAGTGTGTGGTGACGTAGATGTTACGCAGAGATCGAGTCCAGAAGGAATCAGCGGTAGCAGGCTATGCTAATCTCCAACGCACGTTAAGTTTTCACTTCAAAATGAGTTCCCATGATGTCAGAATGTGACTGAACACGTTTTCACAAGTGAAGAGAAAGCAGATGACATAACTGATAAGAGAGGAAAGACTAATTTGACAGTGTGGAATTGGTTCAGCTATCTAAGATCTGATAAACTGCAGGTTTTAGTGTGGTGCACAATATGTGACGGAGTCGTTCCAACTAACGGCAGGAACACATCGAACTTGTTTCATCTGAAGAGTTACCACTTGATAGAATATGATGAGAGTCACAAGATGAAGCACAATAAAGTTTGAGCCAACATGTCCCTGAAACACCACCCCCCACCCAGCTGTAGCAAAAGAGAAACACATGCATGGGTTAGGTTATGTTGTTGTTTAAAGTTAAAACTATTAATATTGATAAAGTTGAGAGTTTTGTTTATTTTATAGATTTCAAATTTCTTTGAAGGCTAAATACAAATAAAAGGTGAACATTAATGTAGCTGTCGCAGAAAATATAATTTAAGTTCTGTTGTCGCTGACATCTATTGGTGGAATTGAGTACTGCACCTAGAGGTGAGCATGCCGTGCGCATGATTAATTAAAATTTATAAGGTGCTTGTGTGTATGGACATGAGAGAAAAACAAGATAGTTGAAGACAACTAAGTGGGGAAAATGGACAATATGGACAATAACTCCTCCTACAGAAGGCGCACACGGTATGTTTACATATTTTGTGTTTGTTTATGTAACCCTGTGGTTTTCGTTCATGTCAGTTGTAATTATTAGAGAACTCATAAATAAGAACATGGAGTTAATATATGTTCAGTTTGTGTTTATGGAATATGCAAACCTATTGTGTTTGGAGTTTAATATTATGTTCAGTTATTGTTTGTAAAAAAAAAAACAAAAACAAACAAACATCCATCCATCCATTATCTTTACCCGCTTATTCCATTTTGGGTCACGGGGGTCGCTGGTGCCCATGTCCAGCAATCACTGTGGAGGGGCGGGGTACGCCCTGGACGGGTCGCAAGTCCATCACAGGGCCACATAGAGACAAACAACCATTCACTCTCTCATTCACACCTAGGGACAATTTAGAGTTACCAATCAGCCTAACATGCATGTTTTTGGTCTGTGGGAGGAAACCGGAGCACCCGGAGAAAACCCACACATGCACGGAGAGAACATGCAAACTCCACTCAGAAAGGCCCCTGGACCGGGGTTTGAACCAAGGACCTGCTCGCTGAGAGGCAGCAGCTCTACCAGTTGCGCCACCGTGCTGCTCAACAAACAAACAATGTAACTGTAATATGTGGTTGCTTGGGATTTTATTTTGGTAGGCGGGGAGGAGGGCTTCCGGTACAAGACGGGACATGAGGAGAGCGACGGAGAAGATGGAGGACATAGCCGTTGCTGTGAACTGTCACTGCTGCCGTGAACTATCGCGGTGGGGGAACACCCCACTGAACTGCTGTTCTTGCCAGTGAGGGGGTAGACAAGGACTCCCATCGACCTGTGGAGGTTGAAGCTGTGTGGGTGACCAACCCCGTGGAGAACAATCCCGTTAGGCCGCTAGCTCGGTGGCTACTGCTAGCGGGCCTCGGCGAACGTTTGGCGGCTAGCCAGCCGTGAGAGACGCGAGGACCTCGGCGAACGGTTGGCGGCTAGCCAGCCGTGAGAGACGCGAGGACCTCGGCGAACGTTTGGCGGCTAGCCAGCCGTGAGAGACGCGAGGACCTCGGCGTGGATTCTTCAACCCTGGGGAGGACACTGGACGGAAGCAGAGGGACTACGGCACGTACAACCTCCTGGAGAGGGACGTATTCAGGTGATGGGGGACATGGTTGTTGGGGACGTTAATGGGAAGAGCGGGAAGCGCGCGAGTTCACCAACATCAGGCCTGCAACGACCGAAACTAATTAGTAGCTGCCGGCTTTAAGTTTCCATTTGTTTAACGAGGTTAAGCGTACCATTTCTATTTCATTACAGACTGAAGAAACTGTGCTATTGTTCAAATTGT